GTGTGTGTTATATTTACAGCCAACAAATTTCGCACAGTGTATGTTCAAAAGTCGAAGAAAGAAATGAAAAAAAATTTTCAGTCAACAATAACAAAAAGGGGGAAAACCGTCACATTTAAATTTATGTTGATGTTGCACATCCAAATCGGGCGTTACTTTCTGTGGCGACTGTACGTAGTTGGGAATTTCGCTATATAAGGGAGGAATCGTTATATAGAGTTTTGACGATATCGATATTGCTTGCTCTAACTTTTATTAACGTTAACATTCTTTACAATACATGTACTGTACATAACATTTTAGATACGGCAACGATATGAACTGATGCATTATTTTATTGAAAAACTGGTGATAATTTCTAATCCATGGTGATAAATTGTCTCCAAAAGTTATACAAAACATGCTAAATATGAAACTTTGTATAAGCTTTAAGACAATATAAATTTTGTAGCCGTTTATTATTTTGTGGATGTACACATAACGAAAAGTAGAAGGAATGATATGAATAACATAATTAAATTTTAACACAAATACGGTTAACATCGATTTGTCCGGATATCGACTCTAGCAATTAACGTTAAACTTTTTATTATTGTTAATTAATAAAGTAAAAAGTAGCGACAAGACTAAATTTATGTTTTTCTAATGTCTGTAAGCCTATTAAATTTCTAAATTTTCATTCATGCGATGTGAAACTTTTCTACGTATATGGTCTCTTTAAAAATGACAATCAACATTGAGAATAAAGTAAGCACTGGATTGACTCGGATTTTTTCATTACTATGAATTCGGTATTAACAGAAAAAAAGCGAAATTCGAATGGAATACTAAATGAATTCACGTTATTTGGTAAGCTTTTACTGAAACCAACGGAAGCAGTAGACTATTTATCTCAACAGATTATTTGACCAGAAAATCTTTGTCAAAGTTTTTAAGAATGTTTTAAGTGTGTACAGATGAAGAAAAAGAGAAAAGTGACAATAAATGACAATTGCTATTAGAATGGAATCGGAATACAAGAATTCTTTTGTTTGTTCAGTTTAATCTTCTATTGAGTGCAAGATAATAATAAAAATTAATGTTCTGTAAGTAAAAGTTTAATTTCATAATTTTAAACAATTTTTATTCGCCTTACTACATGTATTAAGTTAATTGAAAACCCTTTATGACATTAATCACCTTTATTTTATTATAAATTTCAAGTGACAAGTAACAAATCATGTATCACATGTATTCTGGGTACGTACGTATTGTGTACGTACATGTAAATGTATTTACGTAGTGTGTTAGTGCTTTTAATTTAAATTTACCTGCTTGTGTAGTGTTATCCCAAATATTTATACATGTACGTATGCAGTTATCCAGTTGAGCATTTCTATAGTTCTTTATTTAACGCATACCAAGTTATATTGGTATAACGAAAAAAATAACAAACGTTTTTATCTAAACTCCGTTTCTATAGTTCTTTATTTAACGCATACCAAGTTATTGGTATAACGAAAAAATAACAACCGTTTTTATTTAAACTCCGTTGACGACATTGATAGTAACGAAAAATTTCTGACGCGAATAATAAATGTCATCTCCATCCTCTTCGTTTACTGAAAATGACTGGTTCGAGTATGCTAAATCAGAAAAACAAATAAAATCTTTTAACTTTAATAAATTTTCTGAAAAAAAAGTAATCGGAAATGGAGCTTTCGGTAAAGTTTTACGAGCCGAGTTCAAAGAAGAAGATTTAGAGGTTACTCTGAAATGTCTCTGTATTAAAAAAGATGCACATAATGAGAAGATTAATAGACAATTTATTAATGAGGTATAGCTTTATTTCGAAATGAAATCTCGAAGCTATAAACTTACTAATATTATTAATCTGTGTTTTCCTATAGTTGAAGGTCCTTATTCAAATCAATCACAGACATATTATTCGTTTTTACGGAATTACCAAAGGTTAAATATATCATTCTTAAACTTTATCGTTTCTTAAAATTGATCTTAAATAAAATATTCGTAGATCCTTTTTCGGAGAAGCATATGCTTGTTTTGAAGTTTGCTGACGGAGGAACTCTTAAAGATTATTTGCAGTCCAATTTTACTAAACTGAATAGTATCGATAAAATAAGTTTAGCTATGCAACTCGCTAAAGGAATAAAATATATACATAACGCAGGCATTATTCATCGTGATTTGGTAAGCGTTTTGCTGTTATTTTCAAGGTTATGTTTTAATCTCTTTGTCGATTCTAATGTTTCTTTGATTTCTTAAAAATAGAATCACAACAACATTCTTATTCATAAAGGAAAAATTAAAATTTCAGATCTGGGCTATTCAAAGCTTGCAAATTGTCAATCTCATTCAGATCTGGGTATACTAAGTTATATTGATCCGGCATTTCTCAAAGATATGTCTAACTTTAGACGGAATGAAAAATCTGATATTTTCAGTCTTGGTGTGCTATTTTGGGTTATATTCAGTGGTCACCCTCCGTCTGATCAACATGGATACCCTTTTTGTTCCTTACTGGAAAAAGAACTAAGAATATATGGAACTCCAGATAAATACATTGAGCTTTATCATGCATGCTGGAATGATGGACCAGAAAAACGCCCAGACATCTATGAAGTAAATAAACGCCTTAAAGAAATATCATTTATAGTTTCAAAATTGTCCAACGAAGGTTTTGCAACAAACTTGGTCGACAAAGCGTTAATTTTACAACATGGATTTCGAAGTCAAAAAGATTCGGATAATTCAGATGATTCAGATGGATCACCCGACAAAATTGAACAATTTGAAAGTTTAGTTGACGAATCGTTGACTCTTTTTCATAAAAAAATCAATCAAATTGAATTAGAAGACATAGGTGCTCTTTTGAAAACTTATTACGATAACAATGTTCAATTTCCCTCTGAATTTAAAGTTTATCTAAAAACTTTACAATATTTCAAATATAAAACCTTTATGGGGTTTCTGTATCAAACTGGAGTTATCCTGGAACAAGATTACTTGATGGCATATAAAATCTATAAGGAATGTGCACATACTGGAGATTCACTAGCTCAATTCTTACTCGGCTATGTGTATTATAAGGGAAGCGGAGTAGAAAAAAATGATGAAAAATCTTTTGAATGGTATTTGAAGTCAGCGGCGGGTGGTAACGCAAATGGACGATGTAATCTTGGTAAATGTTATGAAGAAGGCATTGGCGTACAAAAAGATGACAAAAAAGCATTTGAGTGTTATTTGAAATCAGCAGAGAGTGGAAACGGTCTGGGCCAATATCAGATTGGTACTTGTTATCGTGATGGCATTGGCGTACAGGGAGATGACAGAAAAGCTTTTGAGTGGTATTTGGAATCAGCAGAGAGTGGAAACGGTTTGGCCCAATATATGCTTGGTAAATATTATAAGTATGGTATTGGCGTACAAAAAGATGACAAAAAATCTTTTGAGTGGTATCTGAAATCAGCAGAGAGTGGAAACGCAGATGGACTGCGTCAGCTTGGTATCTATTATAAACACGGCATTGGCGTAGAAAAAGATGATAGGAAAGCATTTGACTGGTATTTGAAATCAGCAGAGGGTGGAGATAAATTCGGACAATATAAACTTGGTAAATGTTATGAAGAAGGCATTGGCGTACAAAAAGATGATAAAAAAGCAATCGAGTGGTATTTGAAATCAGCAGAGAGTGGAAACGCGGATGCGCTACGTCATCTTGGTACCTGTTATCGTGATGGCATTGGCGTAGAAAAAGATGACAAAAAAGCTTTTGAGTGGTATTTGAAGTCGGTGGAGAGTGGAAACGCAGGTGAAAACTCAGATGGACTATGTCGTCTTGGTGCCTGCTATAGTAATGGTATTGGCGTACAAAAAGATGACAAAAAAGCTTTTGAGTGGTATTTAAAGGCAGCGGAGTGTGGAAACATTTTTGGACAAATGTATCTTGGTAAATTTTATGAAAATAGCATTGGCGTACAGAAGGATGAAAAAAAAGCTTTTGAATGGTATTTGAAGTCAGCGGAGGGTGGTAATACAAATGGACAATGCAATGTTGGTAAATATTATGAACGTGGCATTGGCGTACAAAAAGATGACAAAAAAGCATTTGAGTGGTATTTGAAATCAGCTGTGAATGGAAATGTAAGAGGACTACGTCATGTCGGTACCTGCTATTACTATGGCATTGGAGTACAAAAGGATGCCAAAAAAGCTTTTGAGTGGATTTTGAAATCTGCAGAAGGTGGAGATGTGGGAGCGCAATCTAATATTGGTGAATGTTATCAACATGGCATTGGTGTAAAAAAAGATAACAAGAAAGCTTTTGAATGGTATTTGAAGTCAGCGGAGAATGGACATGTTGACGGGAAATATCATGTTGGTACATTTTATGAACATGGTATAGGCGTACAAAAAGATACAAAAAAAGCTTTTGAGTGGTATTCCAAGTCAGCAGATGGAGGAAATACTAATGCGAAACAGAAATTGAAATCGAATTGTGTTATTTCCTAATTGCTCATTGTTTATTCTGTGCTTCTTAATTTGTACTTTATTGATACAGGTATTAGAGATTTACAACGTTCGTATTTTTATAGCGATAGCTTGTAATGGTTTAACTAGATTGCTAATTAAATAAAGTTTGGTTTCTTACATGTTTTATAGGATATACAGTAATATTTTTGTTTGTAATTTGATGAAAAACAAGTAATATGAATATTTACAAGTATATTCTTGAAATATAAAAAAAATATTTACTTATAATTGTTCAACTAAAATATTTTTTACCATTCTTAATTTTGTATCTGAAGTTCAAACACTTATTATTTATCTGTAATTATTCTTTTATTACTTTAATAAAATTAGTAATAAGTTATTTGACCAATTACTTTTATAAAACCCAATACGTAATTTTTTATTATATATAACAAAAATATGATAAATTATTACTGCAGTTGCCCTAAGTTAAATTTTTTTTAATATTTAATATGAAATGAAATTTCACTGTGTAGATATACTACCGGGCATTTTTTCCTATTACAAGCTGAAAATGTTAGTTTAAATTGAAAATACATGTACATGTATTTTACTTACGTAATTAAATTCAATTCGGGGATCGAATTAAAAATAAAACTTAAACGGAATTATTCCCCACAAGAGAAGAAACTTTCTTTGATGCCAAAGATAGTAGTTAAGAGTTATATAATGATTGAAAAGCAGAAGTAGAACGACCGGAAAAATTAGTGGAATTACTAAAGGAGGATGGTTTACTGGGTAAGTTTATGCTAGAAACCATTGTTGACCTCAAATATGACCTCATTAAGCAAAATGTTATGATGAGAAGTTGGCCGAGTGTCTGAACAAAGTCTGAACAATGAAAAAGCAAGAACTTAATAAAAAAATTAGAAAGAAAAAATAAAAGCTCGTCGGCAAGCCCGTTATCACGAGCAAAAACCAGCTGATCAAAAACAAGTTAAAAAAGTTAAAGCAACCCAAGCTAATATTACAAATATCTCTCAAAGATCATGTCGAAAGCAGTCGTTTGAATTTATAAAATATATCATATGAAAAGTAAATCCAAACATAAACAACAAAAAGGAAAAAAAGTATAATAGCGATAACGGTAATGTAATTATTACACCGAAAACATGCAGTATTAAAAAGAATATTTTACTATTTACACACAACAATAAAAGTTATAAAAGTTTTCTTTTTTATGCGTTTTGTCTCGTTTTTCATGCACCTTATTCTTCATTTTTAACGCATGTTGGGCGTACGTGTTTACTCTTCTCTTTATCTCATCATTTAATATTATGTAATACATGTACATGTTATGAGCTAACTTGCATAAATCGATACAAATACAAACGGATGTGAACGGTGACTTTCACACACATAAATAAATCATCATTTTTTAAATAAAACATTGTCATAATCACTAATAAACTCAAAAGATGGGATCTAAAACTTCGAAGACTCATGATTGTAGTGGATGTCGTCGGTGTCGAAACGATTTGTGCTATAGAAAGTGTTTTGAATATCACAAACGAATTTCTGTTGAATGGTCTAGTGGAATTTAAGATATCGACAGTCTAATAAGTGAATGCGACAGAATTGCTGGTGTAAATCATCGTTCATTCGAATGGATCCCTTTTGAAAGATTTACCAATGCTGAATATCTTGCAAAGGGAGGCTTTGGATCAATTTATAAAGCAACCTGGTTGGATGGACCATTCTTCAAGTGGGATCATGAAGAGATAAATTTAAACGTGTTGAAATATGGAAAGTTGCATTGAAATCATTACATAATTCAAAGCAAATTACATCCGATTTGCTTTTTTGTTTTCAATCTAATTAACTTTTTAAAATTAGATTCAGACGGCTCTAAAGTGCAGTAATGCTTATTTTAAATATCATGGAATAACTAAAAACTCAACTAATGAATACTCGATAGTAATGGATTAATCTGGAACGAAAAGTTGAGATGTTTAATTGATATTACTCGAGGGTTGAATGAAAAGGACTTTGTGCATCATGATTTTCACCCTGGAAATATATTAATGTTTTTTCATATTGTTGAATTTATTCTTCTGAGTATTGAATTGCAATTTTTAATATCATCTCTTAAACCGTCCAGCGGGCAAATTTGTCTGCTAAAATTTTTTTTAGCTTATTTTTGTACATTTACTCCTAATTTTTATAAGCTTTAACCTCCTCTTATTCTAAGCTAAAATAAAATATAGCATATTTTTAATCAAGTTAATATAAAATTTGTAAAATTGATTTAAATTGCTCAAAATATTTGATTGATTTTTTAATCAATTCTGTAAGTTTATTATAAAATATTTTCAAAATTTAAGATTAATTAATAAAAAAAATTTTTTAAATTGCTTATTTTTAACTTATAGACAACTATAATTTTTATAATTATTAAAAAAGTGAAAATTATTATTTTTTAACATATTTTAATTTTTGATAAAAATATATTAGATAATAATTTATGGAATTTTAGCAGGCAAATTTGTTTGCTAAACCTGATGGTTTAAGTAATAATTATTATAGAAATGAAATCAATGTACAAAAGCCCTTTATTACTTAGTATCACTCAAAAATGTTAAAGTTATAAAATATTCAGATAAAGATCTATATAAACTTGCTAATTCAAATTGATATCACTCACCAGAAAGAGAAATGAATCATCCTGGAGATACCAAAGATAATAATAAATCTGCCATTCAAGTATCCACTAATAATGTCCATAATATGATAATACAATTATTATTTTATTTTATTCTTATTCTTATTAATTAATTAACCAAATATATATTATTTTATAGTTGATTGATTTATTGGTTAGATTAAATAATATTTTAGATATTTTAAGCAAAGAAAAATAAAGATTTGAAAGGATTCTGAACTCTAATATATTATCATTGGATGCTTATATATCATCAGAAAATTGTTTTTCAGATTTCAAATACCACTCAAATGCTTTTTTCTCATCTTTTTGTGTTCCGATTCCATTTCGATAACAAAAACCAAGATGATATTGTCCTGTAGTATTCCCACCCTCTGCTGATTTCAAATGCCACTCAAATGCTTTTTTCTCATCTTTTTGTGTTCCGATTCCATTTCGGTAACAAAAACCAAGAATATTTTGTCCTGAAGTATTCCCACCCTCTGCTGATTTCAAATACCACTCAAATGCTTTTTTCTCATCTTTTTGTGTTCCGATTCCATTTCGATAACA